GGCACGGCCCGACCCTACCCAGGCCTCGCAGCCCGCGAGTCAGCGAGGAGGAGCGACGGTTACGAAACCCAAAGCCTCCGCCAGTTCCGCCGCCGCCGCCACCACCGGCTTCCCCTCCTCACCGGGGCCGCGCGCACCGCCGCTGCGGTCACGACCAATTGGAGCGCCTGCCTGCGGGGAACACGCCCTCCCCCCGCGACGGGCAGCGTCGTCAGCCAATCGTGGGCGACCTGGCAGCGGGAGGCGGGCACGTGGCGGAGGCGTTGCCCACGGCGCGGCAGGGCGGGCAGGAACGGCTTGCCACTCTTGGCAGCGCCGGGGGTTCTTCCGCGGAGGGCGCGGGGCGGCACCCCAAACTGTGCGCAACCCGCCGCGAGAAAGGTTCTGTAAAAGTCGGAGGCGCTGGAGAACCGTAGCCTTGGGAAGGCAATACATTCCTTTGGAAAGCACAATTTCCTGAGATGATTTTTTTTGAATCTCCGATTTCTGTTTTGGTTTCCTCACGTCCTCGGGGAGCCCCGCCTCGGCGTTGCTCACTGGGACAATTTCCCGGAATGGCCCCCAAGACTCGCCTCCCTGGTCGCGGCGACCGGGGCGCCCGATGGACGCCTCACCGCCGACAGCCCGCGCCCGTCCAGTGGGGCCTGGAGAGAAGTCTTGGATCGCAAGGCCGTGAAGGCAACTGCAAACTTGTGGAAAAACGAAGGAAGCAAAATTTTCCCAACGTAGGAGGAGTGTTGACTGTGGTTACGGGGAAGTGGACTGAATTTCCACGATCGATTCCCTTCTGCAGTCTTCGAGGTGAACAGATTGCGAGACGGGATCTCAAAAAGTGAATGGCAATCCAGTTTTATTTATCTGAGACAATTCACTGGAGGATCTGAAAGCGTATTACAGCCAGGAAGCAGTGTGCTGGTTGGAGGCAGATAGGTTTGATTGTTTCCTCTTTAGCAATTCTTATCGTCCCAAAAATTGGAGTCTTTGAAAGAGGAAACGTTTCTTCATCACCTAGACCATGGCACCAGCTCTCTGCATGAGACTGTTTCGAGGAATCAGTAAAGTGATGATAAAACATTTCCAAAAAAAAAAAGATATAAAAATAAAAAGGGCCGCGGCTAAAAGTGAACACGGATAACCATAGAAGCACACTTCATAGAATGACACATCACCAAAATCAGTATGTTTCTTTCACTTTGGCCCTCAGTGTTCTGGGTTGAAATTTCTTTGATCCAGACTTCAGCACTATTAAAACTGGGTTCCATGTTACTGCTCACAAAATCATAATTTTTCCCTCACCATTTCCTAATCACTTAAAAATGGGGGGTTGGGAGGAAACTATGGATATGTTCACTTATCCCCTGGTTTGTTTAACCACTCTGCCAAGGTGCTCCAGCATTCCCTACATCTGTCTGGGCAGGCCTTTTTTCACACTCAGCAGGTCTAATTAGTGCCAAGGAGACTAGACTATTATTTTCCTCTTCAGCTGGTAGCTGGCAATTCTTCCTTCTACTCAGTTTACAAATATTTATTTCATACCAACTATGTGCTAAGCTGTGGGGATTCAGCAACAAACAAACAGTCCCTGCCCACATGGAGCTTACACATTAGAGCCAGGGAGACAGACATTTAGTATTCACACAGTTTTCTATTGACCATTTTCACAGCTATTACAAGAAGTACAAGATGCTGGGAGAGATTGTAAGAAGGGAATCACACCTGGTCTGTGGGTTAGGGAAGCCCTTATAAAATGAGTAGGATTTGCCTCGGTGGTGCAGCTGAAGTGAATGTGCCAGTCGGAGGGAATGTCTTAGCCAACGGTCTTGAGATGGCAGAATTTAAGGCCAGAGTGGCTGATGCACAGTGCCCCAGAGGAAACTGATTAAATAGGCAAGAAGGGTTCTGATTTTCACCCTAAGAGAGATGGGAAGCCTCTGAAGGACTCCCTCTCACTGTAAGCAAATGAGGAGAGCCTGGTAGAGGCTGCCTCTAGATCGAGAAGATTCACCATGTTGTTTCTTGCAAGACACAGGGACCCAAGCCCCTATAATCAAAGAAAAACTTCCTGCATAGATCTCTGCCTCACTGATACCCAATACATATTCTACAAATCCAAAGAATATGTAAACAAGTAGTACATTAAAATCCCCTCCAAAGGACTTGAGAAGTAGATCTCCTGTTGTTTGAACAGGTTTGTTACTTGAGAGCTACTATGATTAACTACTTAGTTATCTAACAGGTATGCACTCTAGTGTCAGGCTGTTCTAGTTCACAGCTCCACCTCTTACTGGTTGTGTGACCTCAGGCAAATTACTTAACCTCTCAGTCATCTGCAAATGGGGATAACAACAGTACCCACCCCATAGGATTCTTCTAGGATTAAAGAAGTTGATTTACATAGGCCCCTAGAACAGTGCTTGCCTGGTACATGGTAGGAGCACAAGAGTATTAGCTATTATGACCACGATGCTCATACATGAATTATAAACAAATTATATCCATAGAATTATGGTACACTATAATACACTTTAAAACTAGGTCATGCTGAGCTTAATACTGCTTTGACGATTCAGGCACTGATATACACACAATACTCAAGATGTTGACGTTGACTCTGTAAGGGTATCTCAAAAGGTGTTTTTTAGAACAGTTCCCTTACTTACCACCTCTTATCATTTCATTTCTTTCCACAGAGTGGTGAAAAAGTTTAGTAATTTGAAATCTCTTATTGTTTGAAAACCAGATCAACAGAAGTTTGCTATGCAAACAAGTATTTATCTTAAATGTGTCGTAAATACTTATGATTTGGAAAGCTTCTGAAAAGTTAATATATCAAATTAACTACCTTTAACAGATCTGGACCACAATTACAATATTTTGAGAATGGAGATAATGTTTGTCACAGGTTTGAGTCTCAGCAGATACTTATTGTGGTATATCAGCAATAACGTGACAGTGATTGGCAATCATTCCACACTGGTTAGGGCTCTTTTGATAGGAAGTAACTGAAAACTATAGCTGACTAGGCTTAGCGTAATGAAGGATTTGGTCAAAGATTTTAGGGCATTATTCTTTCTTCACACGGCCACTAAGAGCCTCAGTGTTCACAGCTTCAGTCACTAAAGAAAGGCTCACTCTTCTTTTAAGTTCCTGTTACGAAAAGTCCTAGGCAAGGACTCGGGCTGGTCCAGCTAGGTCAAGGGTTCTTCCCTGGAATGAACAAAAGGCTAGGAGAAGGTCATGATGTACTAACCTGGCAGCTATGGAGGGGATGGCAGAAACACTTCCCAGGGGAAAAGGGATACTGAGCAGACAAATCCATCAATATCCACTTCAAATGCCAGCTCACACTGTGGTCACTCTGATGGAGACTTAGTCACTCTGGTTGACTGATAATGTTCTGTTCCATATGATGTGATCCCCATCCTTGAGGGCAAAATTTCAACCTCCAATTTCACTTTTGAAGCACTATTGGGAATGATGACAGCTAAGATGCTAAATGGTTGTCTTAAAACGTCCTCAGATTTCATAAGCAGGTCCTATGCATGAAAGAGAAAAACCTGCCCACAGTTTAAACTTGAACAGTTAGCAAAGAGTGTGACTGTCCATTATAAAGCACTTTTCCACGTGTCAGATTTCATTATCTTGTGAGTTAAGACATGTCATCCATGTGTATAAGAATAGTACATGTCATCTGTGCACACAATAGGTGTGTAGCTTGTGAGCACATGAAGACAGGTGCAGGATGTCTGCACACATGAGGAGCATGCATGTATCTGCACACATAAGATATCTACATATCAGGACAGGTCATTTGTATCTACTTGTGGGTGCAGGAGGGTCTTATTGTTATGTCTTCACCCCACTGAATAAGCACTGATTGCCTGTTACATAATGATTATAATGCAAATTATTCCAGTGCTTATGAAGCAGAAAACTGAAGATAAATGGAGGGTTCTTTTGGTTTGTTTACTTGTGATGTATGTCACACCAGTCTCCATTGTAGCAATGTGATGGGTTTTGGAGACAGAACAGGGTGATGCTGGCTAGCATTTACCTAACTAAACCTCTGTTCCTCATCTGTAGAGAAAGTTAACAGTCAATCCCTCACAGAGTTGTTATGAGTAAGTAAACTGACATGAAAAGAAGTTAGCATAGTGCCTGGCACATAAAAGGCACAAAATAATCTATCCATCCAAAAAGAATTTATTACCTATGACCCAGTTCTTGGTTTCTAATAACATTCTCCAATAAAAGGAACTGGGCTCCAGAAATGGCTGATTCTAGGACTGAGACAGGAAATACACAAGATGAGCCTGGAGCATCTTGCAATGCTGGAAAATAAGGAAGTACTCAAAAGCAAAACAGTGGGGATGAGTATCTTAGCTTGGGCTACAGTAACAAAGAATCACAGACTGGGTGGCTTAAATAAATTTTTCTTAACAGTTCTGGAGGCCGACAAGTCCAAGATCAAGGTGCCAACAAGGTAGATTTTATTCCGAGGCCTCTTCTCTTGGTTTGTAGGCAGCCACCATCTTGCTGTGTGCTCACATGACCTTTCCTTTGTGTGGATGCTGGGAGAGAAACACATTCTCTGATGTCTCTTCTTATAAGAGACACTAATCTCATCATAAGAGGGCTTCGTGAACTCATCTAACCTTCATGGCTGCCCAAACGCTCTGTCTCTAAATACCATCATGTTTGAGATTAGGGCTTCAGCCTATGATTGTGGGGGGCAGGGGTGAAACACGAACATTCAGTGCAAAATAGTGTGTCAAAGAGTCAGAGGAGCCAAATGAAATAGACCCCAGTGCCCAAAGAGCCACAGCGCCAATTTGAGTGGCAAAATAAATGATGTAGTATTGAATTATAACCCAAAGGATAAAAGGAATATCCACGAGTCTGTGTTGATGTAAATAAACTGTTGAGTAAACAAGTAAG